TCTGCTAGTTTTTTTCTGAGCTCCTCGTGAAGGCATAAAAGCTAGCAGGTGTGTACACACCTGTGGGACCAGATGGGCGTGACAGGCATAGTCCTCCTGGCTTCTGAGTCCAGCTCAGAGAGAGCACCCTGAAGCTTGTGGACAAGTTCGTTGCTCCTTCAGGACCCAGCCCTCATGATCATCAACTGATCACGAGTTCTTCTGCACAAATGCTGGGGTCTCAGCCTGGAGACACTTCCCTTCTTTTCTGGTCCTTCGTGACAGTATATGAGCTGACCAGAGCAAGCAACATCCTAGAGAATCTGGCAATTGTCTTAAACTGAAAAAGCAGCTCATCTCTGATGTGTACCCATCTGGAACTCAAAAGTTGATTTTCTGTTCCTATTGACTTGGTTACTAGATCTGAAAAATAAAACACCCAAATCTGCAGGGACAACTTTTACGTCCCAGTTGTATTTTTGGTTGTTGCAAACAAACTTATGGACTTGTTCCCCAAGCAGTGACTATAGTCCACAACTCCAGGATAGGTGCAGGATGGCCCTAGTGGAAAAGCACTCACTAGACTGTCCTCCACCTCTACCGGCCCTCAGAGTCCTCCCTGGGTTAGAGGTCACTTCTCTAACATGAGAAGGAGCATCTTTCCTGTCAGTGCCAGGTTCTGGGAATGAGAAGAGCTTGGTGTCCCATCCTGCTGAGAGGCTCCCAGCACCACAGGCCACAGTACAGACTGAAGTACAGAGATAAGAACTCCCTTTAGTGAGGGCCAGGAGGGAAAGGTAACAGATTGACTACAGGCTCATGAGAGGAGAAGCAAAGGGCCCCACGAGTAACTGTGGCAAGAGAAGGATGGAGGGAGAAAGTGAGACCAAGAAAGAAGAAAGCAATGATGAGAAATCAGAGAGGGAGGGAGAAATAGATGGATGGATGGATAGATAGATAGATAGATAGATAGATAGATAGATAGATAGATAGAAAGAAGATAGATGGATGGATGGATGGATGGATGGATGGATAGAGAGACAGACAGGTGGGTGGGTGGTGGGTGGGTGAGTGGATAGATAGAGATTTCGTGTGCACATACCCTATACCAGTTTTACTGTAAGCCATACTGTGTTCAACACGATAAAAATATGAATATACTTGTATTTCATCAAAGTGAAGTTAACCTGTGACCTTATTAATGTTGAAAATCTAGTTAATTTGGGCAGATTTTATAGTATAAGATTCCCATTTATATTTTTTTAAATATAAAATACAAATGTGAGTGACATCTTTACACAATGTTCTTTATTTGCGTTGAATTACAACCTTTGCCTTTTGATTTTCAGCCTAGAACTATGAAACCATAGCAGACTGTATCCACGGTTCTCACTTGGAGCCATTTTAATACATGTGAAATTAGAATTCAAAGCAATGATAACTAATATTCTGAGCCTTTTCCTCATATGGGATACAGTTGAATATTTCATATGTGTGTGGGTATTCAAAGTATGAAGACACACAATTAGTGTCAGGACCCCACTCTCACACAGAGGTGGACGTTTCATCCCCTGTAAATGAACTCATTCACAAAGAGAAATTCTCTCTTCAATTTTCTTCACCTTCAAAACACTAATGGAATTTCCTCACTATAAGCTTGTGGTTTTTTTTATATGAAGTCCTGTGTCTTTTAATATAATTTTTAACCTGTAAACATTACCTTTCACCTCCAACCTCACAGGCCACAGCCAGTCTTTATGGCCTCCAGATCTTATCATCCTGGCTGGTCCAAAGATGCACTGGGATACAAGATCCCTTAAACACCTGAGCCATAGTAACCCACAGGCATCCAGGTGTCTTAGTCAGGCTTAAAGTTATTCATGGTCTTCATTTCAAATCAGAAGTAGATGTTTGGGTTTACAGATCATGTAAAAGAGCTTTTAGTAGGAAACGTCTTTAGTTTCCTCCTCCTTCCCTAGCTTCAGAGACTGTCTTCACAGAGCCTCAGACATACTCAAAATGTGTTTCCAGAAGAGGAAGGAAAATGTGATCACTGTTGAGTCTTCCGACTAAGGGATACGGTATCACAGCAGCATGGTCCATACACTCCACTCCACCATTACTCAAATGCAGGAGGACACAGGACAATTAACAACACGTCATGTCATGGACTGATGATCATCAATGATGCTCTTCTGAAGCCACATGAGCAAACTGCTGTCTTCCCTTCAAAGACCCGACCTGAAGATCACAAAGCACACGGCAGAATGCCCACATCTCCTCACCTCACTCCACTCACTGGAAAGAAGGCCAACATCTGTGCACAACCAGGCCACTCGAAGGGTGGAAAAATCCAGAGGCTGGCTCTGTCCATGTGCACTTCCTCCCCAAGAGGTGAATCAGTTTACCCATTTCTAGAAGAAATGGGCAGGACAAAGGGAAGCAGAGAACGTGCTCTTCCCGTCTGCCTGGACAGCCCACATGATTGATCTCATCTAAACCAGGCAAGGAATCTGCTCCAATAGCCAAACACCCCTTAATGACACAATGGTATAAGAATTGGTGGCTATAGTTTCTAAACTCCCAGACCAACAGCACAATCTGGATTGGAGAATGAGCGCAGCCTGGGTGCATCAAACATTAGCTTTAACCCACAGGACATGCTCGGTAGTCTTCTTCCCCATTCTATAGATAAGGCCAAAGAAGTTCAATTATTTGCATATAATCATATACCCACCAAGAAGGGACTTGGCCCCCACACATCTCCATGAACTGTGAGTCCCACAGACCCTTGTAGACTGACAGTTCCACACACCATCCTGTATACTCCTCTGGACTGAAAGTCCCATGTGTTTCCATGAATTCAATTCCACACACCCTTAAGAACTGAGTCCCATGCACTCCTGCAAACTAACACTTCGATCATTTACTGGAGGCAGACTAGAAACTTTGTATATAGGAGACCATTGTCTTCAGGAACCCAAAGACTTCTCTAACAAACAGAAGGTAACTTGAAAAGAGTTTAGCACCACAGAAAAATCCAGAACATCTAACATTTTCCAGTGACTGACCACACAAACTTCAGTGATATCTTAAGTACTTTCTATTGCAACCACAGTCTTCATTTTCTAGGTTGAAAGGGAGGGGAGAAGAACTGTGACAAATAGTTTATAGCTTTAAATATTTCTCCCAGATGCAAAAGAAGCAGCATTTTATGTGTTAATGTGATTTTAAGACAGGGTGTTCTTGGGGAGTGCAGTAAATGGGGCACTTCCTGTATGGTGTAAGACCAACTCCCAGCTCCGGTAAAGGGACCCCACAAGCAGCTGGCACCCATGGAGCCCAGGAAACCCTTGCAACAGTGTAAAGAGACAAAGAGGGAAAGCAGGAAAGCAAGAAGTTTCCAGAAGGAGTAGGGCAAGAAGAGAAGAAAATCTGTCCTGATTACCAATCTATCTGAGAGAGAAGGGGGGAGGAGGGAGAGAGGGAGAGGTGAGACAAGTCTATTTGATACTTTTAGAAAATGTATGGTGACTACAGAAGTCTGCTGCTTAGAGCTCAGATACATGGTGCTAAGACCTTTTGAAAATTGGCCTGTTTCCCAGTGGACTTTTTTTGATTTACTGGAAGTGTGAGAATGAGCTCTGTACATACATGAGCATCTGTGCACACATTCATATACGGGTGCATGCATGTAGTCCCTTCAGGGTCCTTGGGGTAGGGCAAGTTTGAGGGAGCAAAAACTCCCTCCAGTTTCCAGCTATGGTGCTAATCTATCAGTCACTCGTGAGACACAAGGCAGGACTCTAGGACTGCCCCAGAAGAATTTTAGGTATGAACAATGAACTCACTCAATCTTCTCCCTTCAAGCTGCTGAAAAACAGGGAGAGGGAAAGAAAAAGCAACAGGCTGGCCAGCTTGCTTGACTTCTGCAAAGAGCCTCAACTGTGGGCTAGCCCTGGTTTTCCATAGGATAAGCTCCCTCCCTAGGACACCTACCACTCCAACACTCCTCTCCACAGGGGCCTGCTACTCCAACACTCCTCTCCACAGGGGCCTGCTCACCACCTTGGTGTTTTCTTAAGCACTTATTCAAAAACACGTTTAAGTGGAATGCTTTCGTTTCTGCAGATTGCATTAATTATGGGCTCCCTAGCGCGCGGGCCGCATAAGGGCTGCCCGCTGGATTCTGCAGACATCAGCCTGCAGGAGTGGCCGCGGTTGTATTGGCCCGAGGTGGACGCGCTCAGCCCCCATCCACAGCGCGGCTTCTGGCACCTCACCTCGCGCTTTGGCATAGCCAGTACTGCAACTAAGAGAGACAAACTTAGAGCGGTCAACCACAGTGCCACACGTTCTCGGGAGCGCGCCCTGACGCGCACAACATCCTGACCCTGAGGAGAAGACACACGAGACCAGAGACGCTCCTCTGTACCTCTTATACCCCAGAGTGTTCCTCCTCCATGAGATTTTTAACAAAAGAAAAGCGGTCTTTAATTCAATGTCATTTCTGCCACTTCTTCGTCTCAATTAAGGATTCTCTGAAATGCTCCACTACAAGTGGAACACAAGGGCTGCGGCCCCTTTTCCCCCCAAAAGGGGCGTGGGGGGACAGGGCGTCCTCGTGGCGCTGGAGCTGAATGAAATTGCCTGCTTCCTAACCTTAGGCTGGGTCGGCGGCGTTGGCAGGGTGGCACCCAGTCCCTGTGAGTTCTCCCTGAAACAGTTGAGGCGCATAAGTGGCCCAGATCCTTGTTCTTGTGCTATCCCTTCCCACTCAAAGTAGGGGGACTCCGGGCACTCCCGCAAGCTAACTCTCTTTTCTAGCCTGGACTGGTAGGACCAGCAGTCCTTCACAGACGGAGTAGCTATTGATCCTGGACAAGCATGCCGTGGGACTCTCCCGGACCCACCTGTTGGAGATTGCCAGGCCACCTGCTTCCGGAGCCTTGTCTCAGAGGGCATAGTGGGTTCTCAACAGGGAACAACGGAGAAAGGCGGGAGCGCGTCCCGGGACTTACCGTGAGCGCTGAGAACTTCTGCGCGGGCACCGGCGGCAGCAACGCAGCGAGCAGCGGCAGCCAGCACAGCTGTGGCGGCAGCATGGTGACGCTGGAGGGGACCAACCGAGGCAGACACCCCATGCGCTGCGCCCTGGCACTCGGCGAAGATCCGGTGTGCAAACGCGCAGACGAGCGGGCTAGAACTGCTCCGCCGTCCTACGGCCGCTGGTGGAGACCGCACGGCCCCTCCGTGCGCTCCGGCCGGCGCTCCTCGAACTCCTTCGGCTGCCCCTGCTGCTGTCAAATAGCCCTAGTTTCCCGGATCCTCCCCTCCCGCCCTCTCCGCCCTCCCGCCCGCAGATCTCCTCCCTCCGCCCCACCTCCCTCGGCCACCGCGCCCGCGCAGGGGCCGCCCGGCGCGCAGGGCTGTGAAGGAGACAACGAAGGCTACTGGACCAGGCAAGCGTGTGTTGGTGCTGTTTGCACGCCTCCTTCAAACAAATGCAAGGGCACACCTTACAGGCTTGCACACTCACACAGGCTCCATGAGATGCACTGCGTCCCATCCTCTTGCACTGGCACTCCTTCTGTCCTTGCCTTGGAGGGTCTCCATTGTGCTTTGGGTCACCTGTGGCTTTACATTCACCAGAAAGTAGCTCTCTGAGATGCTAAGTAATCATTGGCTTCTCAGCAGGGCCTCTGAGAGCACCTCGAAATTTTGCAGCTTTCCGCAGGTTGACCTAGAGGGCAGGAGGGGTTTGAACACAGATCTATGAGGCAGATGACTTCCTTGAGTTGGGCAAACTCGGAGGAAGGTGAAGGCACACATTGATGTGGCCGCTTTAAACAGCTTAGGCAAGCATTTCAGGTGTTCAGCAACAACCGCGCCTGAATAGGCTGTTGACTGTGATGAAAACCAAGGGGATTATACACACCAGGTCCGGCAAAGGGAGAGCATTGCTGAAATAGTTTAGCCCTGGCTGGTAGCTTCACAGGAAAAGGCCCTAATTCTACCTCACGCAGAAAGCCAACTGGGAAGACTTTTGAGAACAAAGAATCAATTGACTTGTCAGGGCCTCTCTGTAGGGAGCAAAATGGCAAGCTCACTTCTAACTTTTCTCTCCTCTGCTGTTCAGGAGATCCCTGTGAGCTTGCTCACAATCAGAAAGCAGCTACCCTGCCCTAGCCTAACACGGGGTCCTCTGGAGAAGAACAGCATTGGAGCTCCAGAAGGATAGCATTGAAGAATGAGGTCAACCGAGCAAAACAGTCCCAACTTCATCAGATGGGCTGTGGCTACTTTCAAGAAGTCATTAGGTGTGAACCTGTGGACAGCTGACATTGCCTCTATGGAGGAGCGATCGAATGAGAAGTGTCACTGGACCTCACCTGAGATGCCAGTTGTTCATCCCAAGTCGGTTTATGCAATTCTCACTAATGGCACTTGGCCTTGGGGTGCTCTGGAGGTACTCGAGGTCATGGGCTGCAGAAAAATCATCGAGAGGGGCTCCACCTATGTGGGTGTGGAAGCCATCATCCAAGTTGTGTGAAGCCTGGGATATGGATGCTCTGATGTTAATCACATTCCTGCAAGTAACCCCTCACCTACGCATGCATAATGAGCTCATTATCTCCCTGTGTTGAACTCCCTAGTTTGTTTTGCCATTGGGGCCTTTTGAGAAGAAATAGACCTTGCCTATATCTCCCCAGGGAAGGAATTCTCACAACACATGGGGAAAGAGAGTCTTCTAGGGACAGCTGCTGAAAGAAGCCTTTGAAACTCTCATCTGTCAAGCACTCAACACCCTTCCTACACTGAGGACATGGTGGAACATCGTACCAAAACTCTTCGGGGTCAGACTCAGTCCAGAGACAGGCATGACTGAGTAAGCAGATAACGTAAACGTTGAAATAAAAAATGAAATAAATGCTGTGTAGTTGTAACGTCTACAACAACAACAGTAGTAGTGGTAAACAGCACATTCAAGAAGTATTTGGTACAAAACATTCTTCTTTTACCTTTTATTTCAAGGGCACCAATTATTAACTGAAATGTCTTCTTAGGACTCAAGAGTCTGAAAATAGCTTCTTGTCTACTCTCTTCCACTGTGAGTGTCCAGCAAGTAACAGGCTTCATTTGCTCCCATTTTACAGATGAGAAACAAAACTAATGGCTGTATGTCCTAGCCAGCCACAAAATCGGGGGCCGAGTCCAGATGTCCTAACTTGGAACTCTGGCAAGTCTATCACATCCCCTGGAGACGTGGAAGGCAGAAGAAAACTCTTTGGCACTTGCTGCCTTGAATCCTCGAATCTCAACACATCTTTCATGTGTCCTCTAGGATTCCAGAAAGATCAGTGTAATGACATGCTTTTCCAAGACGCTGACAGATGAGAAGGGTCAGAGCCTTCAGAGACCCTCTAACATTTGGAGGTACTCACATGGACTGAATGCCAAGTTCTGTCTTCTCAAAGATGCTCGAAGTGGAATTTGGAGAGGTAACCAGTTCCCATTGTGTGGAAAAAAATAGAACATTTATTAAAACCACTAAGACATGGTTTTATGTGTCAGCCACTTCCTTCAAAGTTAAGGCAGGAAGTAGTCAGCTCACAGGTCTGAGACATCCCTACAGAAATGAAAAAAATATCCCCTTCTCCTGGAAATGATCTTTCAGTTTTAGGCAGTAAGTGTGAAGGGTAGTTTTTGGATGTGACCTGTGGACCTCAAATTTACATTTCTGTCATTAGTGAGAGTCACAGTGAAGATGAACAGAGAACAAGTCACTCCCTGTGGGATTATCTTGTACCCACATGTCTCTCCACAGACTCTCGCTGGCCATCAGCCCTGTCTTCCTTTCTTTGTTTTACTGTGTTAAACTGAAAAGTCTTTTTACTCTTGGTGAAGAGGCCATTCACCATAACGATCATTTCTGGATTACTTGTGTTTAGCCAGTGAAAGAAAAAAGTGTCAGCCACTTTGCCACCTCCCAGCATGCAAAACACAAGAAGAGTCGAATGTCCTTGTCCTGTGACTTCCAAGGTTTCCCTCGGCTGCCCTTTTGTGGCTGGGTTGGAGCGAGCAGCTGACTACTGTGCCTAAGATGCACATCACAGTCACCCACAAGCTTCTGGTTTCCATAACATTTTCTCCAGGTTTGTACTTAATCCTAAGAGGAGAAATCTTCACAGATTCCCTGGATGCGCTCAGGTATACTCTGTGTAAATGGCCAGGGTGTATGAAGTCTCCATCCTCTTCTTGGCCTGTCTTAACCTGCCTACCTCTTCCTATAATGTGCTCTCCTCAGTCCCTGGGATACTGAGAAAACTGGGATCCCTTCTCATGACTCTTAGATTCATTAATACATGAATTTAAGAATGGCTCAAACAGAAGTCTGAAGACAATTTTAGTAGAGTTTAAAAGGAAAACACCCCATCTGTAAATCTTAGTCGCTGCCCAGAGTACAAGGATGAAGGAGAGAAAGAGGAAAGTCGCTCTCTGTGAGCCAGCACAGAGAACAGACACAGAGAGGACAAGCAGTCACATGGCAGGGAGAGGGACTTTAAAGAAAACTGAGGAAGCCCAAGGCATTAGGAAAAGTGTGCTCAGAGCATGGATAGAACTTGTGAAACTGAAATTATGCTTTTCTAAGAGATTTGGAAAATTGGACAGATATATGAAGCTATCTTGCTACCTCTCTGTAAGCTACCACACTAGGAGTGGGGATTCTGTGAGGAATATATGTACAAAGTCTTCTTGAAGGAAAAATTGTTTCACCTGTCTCTTTAGCAGGCTTAAGGTGAGCCCTGCCTTCCTAAGGGTGGTCCCTTGGCCAGGTGATTGGCTCAGCACAGGACAGAGCATCTGTCTGCTTGACCAGGAGTTTTCCCTTGATAGGCCTTTATTGCTGCTCTAACAAATGGATTAATCCCTATCCCTTTGCCCAGGTTCCTCCGTTCCAGATCCTGCTTGTTAGAGTGTGTGAGTAGACACTGATAGAGATTGGCTGGGGTTGGGGCCACTGCTCTAGTTTCACATAAGTGCTATAGTTTAGATGTGTCCTTGTGTTCAATCATGTAAACAAGTCTTCATGTCCTTCATATGACAGATTCCATGTCAACACTTCTCATCACTTTTATGAAAATAGTTCATGATCGGGTTACAAACTAAGTCATTCCCCTAGGACCTCTGAAGGTAGTCTTCTATCAGCAATGATAATGACCCCAGGAGGTCACAGGATGTGCCCAGAGTCGCAAGACTGACAGCATGGAAGCAGATCCTAACGTGGCTTCACCTCGTAGGATCTTCTTCTGCTCTTGAAGAGAGCTTTTGAAGAGACTAGGAAAGGCTCAGGCCACATCCCAGCCTGAGATGCCTGTTCTTAAGATTTGAAATCACAAAGTCCTTTGGGGTGGAGGGGATGATGGAAACTATAGACATTTCATCCAGGAGAATCTATGGGCATAGGCACATGGACACGCACTCGCTGACTTGCTCTTTTGCATATTGTTTGAGGTCTACCTCAAAACAAACAAAAAGCACTTCGTGGTTGTTTCTGAATTATTGATGATTCTTCAACCCCAGTACAGTGTTTCACAACTTAATGTTGCCAAAGAAAGCTCTGTCTCACAACGCCACAGGCAGAATCATCACCTTCCCAGAGAGATCTATCCCTGCAGCACTGAAGAAAGATGCCAGGGCCTGCAGAAAGGGCACAGTCCTGGGAAAGTGGATGGTGATTCACTCAACCTAAATAATGGATCATATTGAATGTGCAGAACACCCTGTACGGGCTACTGTCAATATCCAGACTCCACGAAACATCTGCCTTTTTCTGCTCCTGGAATAATAGCATCTGCCAGGGTGTAACACTTGCAGAGTATATCAGCTTCAGAGTTAGTAAAAATCCACCAAGACTCCAGATCACAGACACAGAGTACAGTCTGGGTGGAGTCAGCCTCCTCCAAACTCACATGGCCTAGACCACTTCAGGACTTGTTACCCCAGCCCACACAGCTCAGAATCAGCCGTGTCAGCCCAGCCTAGTCCATCTCAGCACTAAAAGATCACCCTCCCTGTGAACTGCCTCTGACCACCTCAGGATTGGTCCTCCTTGTCAGCCTAGCCTTAATCCCCTCAGGATTCCATACTTGCTCAGCCAACCTCAAGATGGATCCTTCTTGTCAGCCCAGACTAAACCACCTCAGCAGAAGAGGATCAGCCCTCCCTGTGACCTGGCCTATACTACCTCAGGACCAGCCCTTTTTGTCAACCCAGCCTAGGGACTCCCTTCTTCCTGTATTCATGGGAGACATACCTTCA